TGGCCCGTGTCTGGAAGGTCTCTCTCAATCTGCCAAAACTGTTCTACCCCCAGCAAGTCAAAGCAGAGGCATCCTGTAATCCTTGCTACTTAATCAGATCTCTCTTCCCCAGAAAGGACTTTGTAAAGTCACCTTTTAGCATACAGACCCATCTATTCACCGCTTCCGTCTGAAAGCCCCTGCAGAGGAAATCACAAAAGCTGGCCTCCTGCCCCCAAAACTATCTCTGACCTCACTAGCTGCTCCTGGAATAATACAGTGAACAAGAAAATCCTATTTCATTTCTGCAAAGGTGAAAGATCTCACATCGTGAATCCTCTGGGCACTATACAGGTGAATTGTTTTAAAAATGCATTTGTGTGTATAAGCAATGCCTTCCATTGCAATGAATCTTTTGCATTTTTAAAAGGTAAGTTGTATGTTCTGACACTATAAATGGTAGTAAAGGTATTTCAAATTATCTCCCATTTGCTTGCTGTATTAACCAAGAGAGTACATTAAGGGCAATAAAGTTATATCTTTATCAGAAAAGCATGCAGCGGTTTCATAAGCACTGTGCTTTCAGCACTGTTATCTGCTCAAAGTTTTATAATGTTTTCCAGATAGAACATAGGCATAAAATAACTTTGATTCAGTCTTCTGGGGGGAAATAGTAAGAATAATGACCACACTGCAGTCCATCAATGGTTTTCTCATTTTACTTCTGCGCAGATATTTTATACAGACTTGATGTGATGAGTCACATAGAAGGACAGTTCATGATGTGTATAAATGCTAGTCAATAGCCACAATTTATTTATTTATTTATTTAAAAGATTTTATTGGGGAATCGGGGGAAGGGGAACAGACAAGTTGCTGTCGTCTTGTTCTTCAGCCACAGTTTATTAAGTGCCAATCATAGACCAAGCTTCTAACACCCTGTCTCTCAACTGACAATAATCCTATAAGGTAGATGCTATTAAGCCATTTTGCAGAGAAGAAAAACAACGATTCAATGAGATTGCCTGGCTCAGGTTATACAGTTAGTCATTGGCAGAGCTGAGATTTAGACCCAGATCATCTGGTCTCAAGACCCAGACTGCCTCTCTCTTACAGCGAGTGGTTAGAAGTCTCTAGAATCTGGAGCTGGGTTAGACATGAATAGGAGTGAAACAATGCAAACAGTAATGAGAGCATGTCATTTTCACCTTCCTACCTTAGAAATATTCACTCAATGTTCCATCTCCAAAGCCGGTAACTCACAAGGGTGATGAGAAGCAAACTGCCCCTGTGAGGAATCCAAGCAGAACGCTGGAGAGCTTGGGAGCCACAGCTCTGGCCTCGGTCAGCTTGGTTTGAGCCCTGGCTGTGCCTGTCACCAGCTAGTTGTGCAACATCACGTAACCTCTTTGAGCCTTATACCCTTCTCTATAAAATAGGAAAACATCCTCATAGGCTTGAATAATACGAAGTGTGTGGCGTACTTGACACTGAATCTGGCATATTGCTGCATGCTCAGGAAGGAAGTACTATCTGTTTTTTATTGGAACTTTGCTGGTAGGCTGATGTATCAATATAAAAGACACTACTGGTTAAAAAAAAATCCACAGTTTCCAGTGTAACTGGTATTGGTNAAGGAAGGAAAGAAAGAAGGAAGGAAGGAAGGAAGGAAGGAAGGAAGGAAGGAAGGAAGGAAGGAAGGAAGGAAAGAAGGAAGGAAAGAGAGGGAGGGAGGGAGGGAGGAAGGAAGGAAGGAAGGAAGGAAAGAGAAAAAGAAAGAAAGAAAGAAAGAAAGAAAGAAAAAGAAAGAAAGAAAGAAAGAATGAAAGAAAGGAAAAGAAAAGAAAGGAAAAGAAAAGAAAAGAAAAGAAAGATAGGGAGCCAATACAGAAGAGGTACCCACCTTCAGCAAAGTGCCAGGACTACGGAGAGTCTAATGGTGAGAAAACGAGGGATCAGAAGAGCCCAAAGATCCAGTTTCCTTTCACCTTGTGTTTGACTGTTGTGAACAATATTTCACATAGTCGTATCACCCAAGTACTACAGGCAAATGATCACGTGTGCCAGCCAAAGAAGAATATGGGTTTCATTTATTTTATACCCTGGAGGCTTCCTTAAGGGGGCAACGGTTAATTACAAACAAACAAAAAAATCTGGATTTGGTAGATTGGCAAAAAAGGGAATTGGAGAATTACTGAGCTCCTTCACTGAAGACACCAGAAAGCCCTTACTCTGCCATGTGGATAATAACAGCTTCACAAAAGAATGCTTGCTGTGTGCCAAACAACTCGTCAACATTCCATTTAGTCCACCCAACAACCCCTCAAATGGGTACCATTATTATCCTGATTTTAATGCTTAGCGTCCTGCCACTCAGAGAGATGAGGTAACTCATCCAAGAGTCCACTGCCAGTAAGTGGCTTAGCCAAGGATTCAGATTCCGCTCTCTGACTTCACTACATTCCCCACATCTTATGCCACCCCAGCCGTGTTGGAGAATGGCAACTGCCTGGAATTTCAGGGAGCATCAGCATTTGTTTTTTGTGGCAAAGACCTTAAGACACTGCTGATGTCTATGATCTCTCCATCAATTACTCCCTCCTCCCTGGAATGGGTTGGAATTCATCCCACAGCTGCCAAATGCCTTACATCATTTATACCATTTAACCTTCCCATCAGTCTCATGAGGTAGGTCTTAATATCACCATTTTGCAGACAAGGAAATCAAGTTTTAAAGGGATTAGGTGACTAAAATTTCCTAACAGTGAGAGACAGAATGGGATTTGAACCCAGGTCAGCTAAACCTGAGAATTAGCATTTAGCACACAGCTCTGCACATCGAGAGTGGGCAATGGCTGTTCTTCCAATTATACAAGCTGATGACCTAGGGACTAGTGCTTCCAGGCAGGATAACAGGACTGCCAAGTCTGCCTTGGCAGCCAGTTTCTGAGTCTCTCTATTACACCTAATTATTCAATACTTAGGCCCCCAAACATATAAATACCCACTTATTTATTTTGTTGAGTCAAGTCTTTCAACTAACTGCATTGTCTATGAACTAGGGGATGCCAAAGGAAGTGGAAGAAGTCAATATTACTAACATCATCAACAGCTCCATCTCCAGCTTCAAACGGAAGATCAGCTTTGCCACCATTGAGATTTCTGGCGAAAACGTTGACTACAGCAACTTGACTATGAAAACCAGTGACAAGTTCAAGTTTGTCTTTCGAGATAAGATGGGCAGGATTGTTGATTATTTCACAATTCAAAACCCCAGTAATGTTGATCGTTATTCCAAGCTACTATTTCCTTTGATTTTTATGCTAGCCAACGTATTTTACTGGGCCTACTACATGTATTTTTAAGAGTATGTGGAATTGTTTGCATGCCATAGGTCTTCAACAAAACAAGGGAATGATGGAAATGATATTCTAAGCCAAGTATGCACCCTAACCCAATGATGCTACAAATGACTAAAATAACAATTTAGCATTTTTCCTCAAATAATGGACCCCCAACCATTATTTAAGCTGTGTAGAAGTCCCAGCATGACAGAGTCTTGTAATAGAAACATCAATCCATTCCTTTTTGTATCTTTACAAGAGACATCCCCATGGAGCCTGATTACAAACCTACTCAGGGTTGGCTGACTGCTCAGCAGCTCCCTGGTCTGCATTTATCTCATATAAAAACTGAGAAAGAGGCCATTACATGTGTTGAGTAACCCTCAAGTATCAGGGGTTATTTCTAAATTAATCATACATGCTATTTATTAAATCTCTGCAGTGCTCACAAAATGCATTGTTGCCTATTTAGGGAGTAACCTTTTCTAATTTTGGTTTTTGATTAAAATGAAATGTGGGCCTAAGTCCATTCACTGGAAGGCACTGTACTAACTCAATACCAAGATGAGTTTTTATACAGTACTTAATACCACAGCAGAACCATCCCCAAATTCCAATAAGTCCTACCACTGAAAAGGCAAATGCAAGTGAAGAAAATTTTAGTGGATCAATAATCTCAGTTTGGATTCCCCAAACTGGAAGGGGCTTTAACTCCCAATTTTGCACGTCTAATCTTTTTGCTGTTACACTCCCGCCAATCCTAAACAGTGCTGAAGCCCTCTCCTCATATCAGGAAATGAAATGGAAGATTTTTTGTTTGTTTGTTTGTTTTTACTTATTCTAGGAGTCTCTATATGGACTGTTGCCATCAAGACTTGCAGCACTGAGTCCTTTGCTATCTGCTGCTTTTTCCCAGCAGCAGACCAGACCGCCTGCATCCTTCCAAGAGGAGCTTTTCTCCCTATGCTCTAATGACCAGGAATGATGCTTGTTAGACAACGAGTTCCATTTCCCAGGAACAAGCGGCTCAGCACTAGTAAGCTTGGCCATGCGCATGTCCCTGACATTCTGAGCTGGGCTGCTTTGCGTGGCTTATCCTGCATGAGCAGGAGAAGGCTGACCCCGTGTCCTGAACTTTCTGAGTAACAGCCGGACTTGATACAGAACATACGTTCAGGCTGCAGGTGAGCTGTCCTTTCTAAGTCCAGCCTCTCTCACCCTAAAATGAAAAGCACAAACGTGCATCTCTCCTTGCTCTTTGATCAAGCTCCGCCATCGGCACCATAAATGGCGATCTGTGATGGCGCCATGATAAAGGCTTCCAGGTCAGCCGCAACCACTTAAAGAATCTTGCCATCTTTAATTCTTTAGCTTCCTTTTCTAATAAACATATGTCTTTTAATCTTCCCTCCCGAAATAAACTAGGGCTTTGGAAGATCATCTTTCTTCTCTAAGCCCCTGTGCCATAGGCTGTCATTCTTTTCCCCATTATGATACTTCTCACAATTCAGTTTCTATGGCTTTGATAACCTCAGCCTTTGACAAAATGTTTCTAATGGGAATGGAGGGATTAAAAGAAGTGGAATATGGCTGTATGGTTCAGTTATATTTGTGATTTTAAAACATAGGTTTAAAAGAAAATATCTTCTCTGAAACCCCCTTCAAGCATTATATAAAGAAAACTGTAAATATATGAAGTTGTGGAAATAAATATACCATATTAGTTACCCACCAAATCAAGTGGTCATCTATAGAATGAGTATTGTTAAGATCCCATTTGGAAAAGGAATAAATTATAGGACAAACCCACTGGGCTCACACTCTCCCATCCTCATGTTCGCCCCCACCCCAGACAGTACACATATACATTCACACACACACACACACACACACACACACACACACACACACCCCTACTATTTACTACCAAGGAAGATAAACTCAGGTGACATAGTCAATGCCCTTCTTTGACATCACCACACGACTGCACTTGCTTTGCAGTTAAGCAACTATGCGTGGTGATATTGAAAGCTCTAATTCTCAGATATGTCAGATTCTCTTTCACATCTTCTTTATTGTTTTGCAATTCTCTTTTGGTTAAATAATATTTTCATAGTTTCATAATACACTTTGCAAAAAAAAAAGTTTGGATTTTGTATTACTCTGAACTTTATGTAGGCTACAGCATTGTAGTTCTCAGTAAAAACTCATATTCTGTATGTGTCCCATATATCCTACCCACCAAGATCAGTCCCAGGACTGATTTATTCAAAATATTTATTTCTGGGGTCAAAATATCAAGACTAACCTCTTGATAAAATGGGACTTCCCAAAGACATGACTCTAGGTAGGGTTGAGACTATTCTTAGTCATGGAAATTCAATTCTTAATTACCTTGATATTAAGAATATCAATATTCTCAATATAGGAAGTCATATAGAAGCAGGAAGACATTCAACAACAAGTAAATGACAGAGGTTTAATTTCAAATGAAAGACACGGGTGAAATGGAGAAGTGAGCATAGCAGAAAAGAGCTAGTGATTACAGTAGACCAGTAGACAGCCCGGGGGAAATACTATTAGGGAAAAAGTACAGTATGGGCTTCCAGTGCCAGGTAAGTGATAATCTGTAGTTAGGGAGAGTTTGACAACCAGGATTGAGACGTGGCCCTTCAATGATGGAAAGTATTCTTATACATACATACGTACAGAGCAGTTCTCAGCTGCTGGCCCGCAGTTAATTTTGATCAGTCCGTAATACATTTCCTGCAAAAAAAAAAAATCCTAGCTTCTTAATATATGTTTTTAAATTATATGTATATAAATTAAATGTAGTCTCGGGACATGGAGTAGAGAGGGGGAATGGAATCAATGGAATTGTAATAGATAAGTATGATATCAGGGGTGGGAGGGCAATACATGGAGGGAGAGGGGTTGTTACTTTGTGAGGGTGAAAAGGATAACTATTGCATTGTTCTGTACACCTGAAACTAACAATAAAAAATTTTAAAACAATAATAATAAATAAAATAAAATAAAATAAAATAAAATAAAATAAAATAAAATTGAGCCTTAACCAGATGGGGATTTATGTCCCAATATATAGTCAATGTAATTTATGTGTTGTAGAAATGACCTTAAAAAAGAAGGAAAGAACATTTGAATACATGGTTCCTGTTTTTTGAATAATTTAAAAAATATATGATACAGATAATGTTAAACAGTATTTATAGAGAATTTACATACATATCAGACTGTAGCGTTTCAGTTAAAAACCATTGAGTCCAATTTTGGCCACAATGCTTTTAAGAAGGATGTACAGAAATGGGAAAAGAGTCCAAGAAAAATGAAAGAAGTAATTAAAATCATGGAAAACAGGTCCAAGAAGTGTTTGTACCCTGAAAAGCAAGGCTGAAGGATAATGACTGCCATTATTAGGTTCATGAAGGGTTTTGTACAAGGGACATGCTGTTCCACTAGTCACTTGAATAAGTGAACTGAATACAAGTAAACAGACACAAATGAACTTAAGAGAAAGCTAACTGTTTAGAAGGAGTAGAATGTGCAAGCTGAATAATGAAATACTCAGATAAGCTTCTTGTCTCCATCTAGAAATTTCCCATGAGAATACACAATCGTCTCTCCTCTTTGATTTTGCCATCCATATGCCTGAGTGCAGAAGGCTCTATTCTGCCAGGAAATCTTGGGAGGCTGTAGGTACAGGGAGACACCCCTGGCTGCAGAAAATTAAAGCATCATACCAAGTATTGCTAGCAAAGAATGCATGCCTAAGAATATTCCTGGTGGCCTCTGAGGTTGAGTTCCAAAATTATGCTTTCTTTTGGGAGATTTGAAGGGGAGTCA